GCAGCGGCGAGGCGGAGAGGCTGCTTTCCCTTGTGCTGGGCAACAGCTTCTGTCCTGCGACGCTGCTACTGAGCCTGGGCGGGTGAGCCCAGAGTACGCACAGGATGTACGGGCTTGCAGTTGTCTAATATGGGTCCCCACTGGTACCACGGGGCTGAGGTCAGTAGTTGCTACAGTTGGAAGGAACCACCGCCACTTGGGCTGCAGCTGTGGAGTTGCCCCGGCCCCAGTGTGTGTCCAGGGGGTGGCAGGACACGCCATGGATAGACAGTGCCTAGGCCACGCAGGACCGAGGGACCCACCTCCAGCCAAACAAAGGACGGATCTGGCCCACAGGCCATATTTTGCTCACCCTTGCCCCATGGGGACAGAGAAAAGTCCATCTCTATCAAGATTGCCAGGATGTGGATGCTGTTGTCTTGCCAGCTGGAGGTGGAACAGTGTTTTCAGCATGTGTGTGGAGCTCTAGCAGCAATGAAACATGAGAATCATCTTGACAATCTTAAGATCACTCTCCTTTAGTGACATTAGTATCAAATTCCTCCCTATGCCCACCAGCATTTTTCCTGCCTTATATGGGTTTAGCTTCTGGCAACTGTTGGTTTTCGGTGTCTTTCTTCACATATTGTGAAAGCAATGACACATGGTATTTGTATTTGGTGTCAAGGCAGATACTGTCCACGTTTCTTGGTATGTCAGTCTATTTTGTCTCATAGTCTCCATTAGCAGTTGCATATAAATACTAAATAGTATGCAGAATAGGTCCCTTGTAGATCCAATAGGTGAGACAGAGCAGAAGATTCTCATCACATGTCTTATTCTGAGAGAAAACTGGAGCCATGTGTTATTTCAGTTCTTAACTCCTGCTACATTTGGCACAACTGCTTATTAATAACTGCAGCATGTTATTATTATTATCTGTTATCATTTGATGCCTGGCAGGTTGCAGTAAAAATGTGCATTTTTCAGTGGGCGACAGTGTATATTTTTCATTTGATTTCAGACATCTTTGGATAGAGAATTGACTTTTGGTGATGTTTTGTTGGGGTTTTTTACCGAGGACTTTAATCAAAAACATTACAGCAGTATGTAACTAAATATGAAATGCAGACTGCTTTATATTAACTCTTTTTCCATCATTTGTTCATATATTACAACAAAATTTTATTTCTTCAAAGTTACAAATCCCTAATATATGAAATGAGCTTTCCAGTTGCATTTTAAACATCTCCTTGTCAGTTATTAAAAAGCAACTTCCTTTGTTTTGGTTACCTTTCAACTTAAAAAATATATGAATTGTAAAGTTTTAGGAGAGTTATTTTCCGTATTGATTTTTTTTCTCAGTCTTTCTCACAATACATGTGTGCACGTGTGTGTGTGTGTGTGTGTGTGTGTGTGTGTGTGTGTATAACATTTACTTAAAAATTCTAGAGCTATGAAAATACAACACATGTTTTACAACAGCACACATCTACAGGGTGTTTCTTTAAAAAATTACAGATCACTGAAGGATTGAAAAGTGTCCTCAGCTTCACCTCCATACCTATGATGTATAATGTGTGGTAGAGGATAGTTCTCTTGTGGAGCTTTATTATGTAGTATAACAAATAGTAAAAAGGGTATGAAGGCTGAAACTATGCCTACTGTAATCACTTACAGGTTAACTCTATGGGTTAAAACATTTAAAACATCTTTAAAGTTATGTTGCTTTAACAGTCATGTTTCTAACCTGTTCTAATATCTTTCGTAATGTCTATTGTAACTGACACTATCGTACAAGTAAAATTTTTATATAAAATCACCCTTAGCTTATTTTCTTTTGTATACATGCTTTCCTTTTAATGCATTTGTTAAACTTGCTTTAGAGATTACCATGTGCCCAACAAAGCATAAAGCATTGAAGATGGTGTGTGATACAATTAAGATTTAATTCTTTTTATACTGTCTACTTAATTCGTTATTTGATGCTGCAAAATGCTGAAATACTTTTGGAAGATTGTGTTCCTGCCTCTCATGTGCCAGGAACTATTTAAACAGTTTAAATATATAGTACCCAGCCCAGTATAGACAAGGCATTGGTGTTTATTATATCATGGAAATTTCATTTTAAAAGATCGTGGTTGGCATATGTACTATAGAATGATGATTACCTTT